ATGTACACTTTCATCTCTCCCTGAAATCACCGTTTTTCCTTCCCACGCCTCCCACAAATTAAAGTATCTTTGTTCCGAGAAAGGGAGGTAGCAGGGTGAATGAAAATGAAATATTTTTTTCAAAAATAATCAAATTGCATTTTTCTAACTTCATTTAAATTATATAGTTTTCTTTTTAAAAGACAAATGAAAATCTGAATTGAATATAAAGGCTATAAACTTATTATAGTCTCTCTAAATATTTTAATAAATACTATAGAACTCGTAAGCCTGTATCTGAAAACTTTGAGTGGAAGGCTCCTTTTCTGTACACTGACAGAACCAGGGGAAAACATACAGCTGTCAAGGTGGAGCTTTTATAAATATGGCATTCTAAGTCATGTACTGTCTTAAGAGCCTGTTTTGATAATAAAGCTACATTTTATCTGCTGTTTTATGTGTTTAATTTCCAGTTACTGTCCTAATGTGGCTTGATATAAATCACGAACCAAAGAGTTAATTCTGATAAATAAGCAGTACATCATTCGCCCTTTTCTAATTGTACGATTAATAAGAATTTGGAAATATTAAGCTATATAATTTAGTTACAGTATACTTTATAAATAGCAAGGAGTTCTACCAAATCTTGTGTGAAGGCTCTATTTAGCTGTAAAATAACATGTTTTAGTGGTTATATCAATCAAGGAGAGTGTACCTTTCTTTAGTAAGTGACTGGAATAGAAATGGAAAAGCGATTAAAATCAGCTATTTAAATTGAGGCTTCACACTTGGTGATTTAAATCATGAATTGAATTGGTGATTTAAATGTACTTGTTTTAAAAAAAATCAAGCCACTGCAGGGAGAGGAAGGAGGTAGAATGTTTAAATTAGTGGACTTGCTGCTGTAAGTGTGGGATGTTGCATACTTCCTGCTTCAGAAAAAGACAAGGGGAAGTTAACGTTGCAACTTTTTTCCTTAAAGGAGAAACATTTCATTGTAGAGTAAAGCAAAAGACAGCATGAAGATGTAAAAAACTTTCTAATGGGTGGAAATTACACTGATATATCTTGGCAATGCTTGTTCATTTTAAACTTACACAGATAGGCATAATGTATACATTTGTAACTATTGCACAAATATATATATAATACTTTAAATATAAAGTAGCAATTATGTTCAAACAATGAGAAGTCTTGTGGCACCTTATAGACTAACAGATTTATTGGAACATGAGCTTTCGTGGGCAATGACCTACTTCGTCAGATTTCGTGGTCTTGGCCCACGAAAGCTTATGCTCCAATAAATCTGTTAGTCTGTGAGGTGCCACAGGACTTCTCATTGTTTATACAGATTAAGACTAACATGGCTACCCCTCTGAATTCTGTTCAAGACTCAGGATAATCAGCCTTTTTGAGAATAAAGGAAGGAAATTTAAAGTATTTGAATTAATAGATGAATAGGCCTGATGTTTTGCTAGTCCCATTTTAATTTGCCGTTTGTAAAGCAAGGCAGAGAACCAGCCTTCTGTGTAAATTGTCAGTTAGCCTGGAGGGACTTGCAGCCCTGATAAAAAGCCCTGCCTGTTGATAACATTTCACAGGCATACTCAAAAATCATGCCAAGAATGAGAATAGTGGCTAGTTTGAGGGGGACAGCCCTGCAATCCGTCTCAGCTATGAGTATCTAGGGTTCTCATTCTCTTTCTCAGTCGGTGTCAAGGGGACATGTGACTTTTGGCCACATTGGCAGGGTTTTTC